AAAGATATGCAACATACATATTTTTGACTCTTTTGGCAGACATAACAACTTTGTTAGTTACACAGTTACTAACTAGGCACACAAAAATTTAACTTCATTTCCCTTATTACAAATTTGAGATACACTTAAAAAATTGTATTTCAAACCATTCACATAATAAACATTGTCTATGGAAGGTTCTCTTGATCTTCCTATTTTCCCAATTCCGATAATGAAACCCTTTTTTCCCATCACCAAACGAAACATCACCACCCTGGTGTGCTCCAAAGAGAGGAAGTTTTGAGTGTCTCCAGTCATATGCTTTGAGCATCTACTATCCATGTACCAGCACTGACTGCTTCCTCTCTTCTGCACAAGAATCACTTATTCGACTTAGGAACCCACTTCAGATGGAGTTCCCAAAAACTATCAAAAGGTTTAATAAGAAACTTTCTTGTCCCATAGGGGCAAATTATTCTTGCTAAAATGGTGGTTGGGACCAAGTACCTTTTTCTTTTCTACATTTATTTTTCTTGACTTGAGGAAGTTCTCCTGGCTTTCTTTTACTCTTTTTAGAGACTCACAATTTTACTTTAGATGACCATTTCTTCCATAATGGGTACACAGAAGATTGTCAGAGACATAGACATATTTACTGTGAGGATTGTAGGGAGGTTCTATATGTCTACAACCTAAGCCCTTTTTGCTGTTGAACTTTTAATTAGCTAAGTTTGAAAAGATCTTAGACGAATCAATCCATTTCAGGGAATGGTTTAGCTCTTCTTTGATCTTACTTAAGTCCTTCGTTAGTTGAGAATTATTTTCAAGAGAAACAACTAATTTAGACTCAGATGCCTTTAACTTCTCTTCTAATTCAACCTCAAAGCTACTGAGTTTTCCTTTCCCACCCTCAGAGGTACTAGGTCCCACGTTGGGCTGCAAACTCTTAGATTCTAGAATACTTACCTTAACGCTCATTTCAGGCATTTAAGAGTTAAGGGCTGCCTTTTCATCCTCACATAGACTCGGTTTTTCACTTAACATCATATTTTCAGTAGTTAACTCATCTACTGAGTCAATTAGTACAACAACAAGTTTTCTCAATCTCTTAATGGATATATTTATGCAACTAATCAATGAGGGATGAATTGGAAAATCTATAAGCTCCTCCCTTGCTTGGTGTTGCTTGACATCCTGTATCACTACAAAATAACAAAGAAACAATTGTATCATGGTCAAGGGGGGAGGGAAAGTAGAGAACAATCGAGGAAAACAGAGAAAAATGAATTCAGTAGAATGTGAGAACCACTCGTCGAGACCTTGAAAGGAAACCATTACTACTGTAATGGAGAAAAGAAGCATCTTCAATTAATGTCAAATGATACAGATGGCCTGAAAGAGAAATTCATAATAGGTTCAAGCCTTTCATATTCTTCAACAAAATATTCCATGAATCTGATTGGAAATACATTACATTTGTGTATGGTATTTTACATATTTATGAGTAGTGAAAAAGACTCATAGGGAGAACTCGAGAGAAGACTCTCCTACATCCTATTATTTTTTAGGCTTAATAATCTACTATCCTTTAAAGTTGTCTGCATATTTTACTCAGACACCTCAACTAGGGTTAGTATCTATTGAACACCTAAATTGTTCAAAATGTGTTCCAATTAAACACAAAATGCTGACATGGCAGAAAAATTATTTTTCACTTTCCTTTGGCGCGTGAAGAAATCTGAAATCGTATTTTATATTCATTTTCGAAAAAATAATTTTTTTAAAAATAAACTTCACTTTCCTTTGGCGCGTGAAGAAATCTGAAATCGTATTTTATATTCATTTTCGAAAAAATAATTTTTTTAAAAATAAACTTCACTTTCCTTTGGCGCGTGAAGAAATCTGAAATCGTATTTTATATTCATTTTCGAAAAAATAATTTTTTTAAAAATAAACTATGTAATTGGATTTGCAAAAAGAAGGAAGATTGAAGACTTTTGGACACCGTTTCTTCATCACTCTTGGACGAGTTTCTCTCTATATCTTTCTCTCACGTATTAGGTATGAAAAATACTTTTTTTATTAGAATTGAATTTGTAAGTAATTTGATAAGATGTTGAGTGTTGTGGTTTGTGAAAAGAAATGGTGCATGGAAGAAGATGAAGAAGAAAGGGGGTGGGGTAGCATGGGGCTGGGGCTGGGTAGAAAATGTATTTGAAATAAATTTTATTTTTTAATTTAAAAAATATTCTTCTAAAATTTTTGGGGCTCACTTGTCACATGTCATCTTTTCATTAATCATTTTGTCATGTCATCGAAAGTGCATCCCACACACTACACATTTTTTTTGTTTATTATCGAAAAATGTCTAATAGGAACAAGTTTTGTATAGATAAAAGTGTTCAATCAGTAATAGTCTTAGTTGAAGTGTTTAAATGAATATATGGACAACTTTGAGAGAATGTGATGACTTAAGCCTATTTTTTAAGTGTAAAGATAAAATGTCCAATTAATCATTTTTTTCTCTAATACCTCTTTATTATTAACACACCAAGCTTTATTGGACTTGATGATTACAGCCCTTGAACATAACGAATATCATATGATTATGTTTTAAATGTGTTTACAAGCTGTATTTTACCTATTCATGTATAAACAGGAAGAACCGCATATGAAAGAGTAATGACAATAGCAAAATATGTTTAAAATTAAACATCTACTAAACATATTTACTACGAATTTTGCCATTTCATTCTCTTCTTTTACAAAACTCATTATGAACAAAGAAGGAAGCAATGAGCATTAGTAGCATTGAATCACAAACAACCGGACTTGTTAATATCTTAATATGCATTTGTCGAATAGAATAGCTCAACCTTGGGAGATGCTCTAGGAAAACGCATCAACTCTTTGCTGATATTTCCTTCTTCCCTAAACCCTGAGGTTTTCCCTTGCTTAATGTTCATCCTAACCAAAGATGGAGCACGGGCAAACAATAACTTTATGAAGAACAACTCGGATTTTGAACCCCTAAAACAATGCATAACGACATCTTCAAGTTTGGTGATCAGTAGTCGGTCCAAGCAGGCTGGTTTGTCCATATATTTCATAACTGTTTCATTAGTGTCACAAGCAGAACAAAACTAATTAATGGTATAAGGCAATAACATGTTTTAGCTTCTCATGTTTAAATATATGAAGCAAAAATAGAGCATATCATACTACAAACATACAGCTTGTTTATGGCAACATAAATGTACCATTTATTCTTACCCAAATCTGAAGTTTACTCAAGTTGGGACAGTTCTTAATTAACTCGAGAGCGTAAGAAGTCTGGCGTATTCATGCAACTAATCAATGAGGGATGAATTGGAAAATTGTTCTTGACTTGTGGAGTTTCCTTTAATAAATATGTTCAGACCCCTTGGAAATAAAAGTAAATTCATTTTGCATATTTTGAGTTGTATTTTTAAATGCTAGGGTGAACAATATTAATATACCTTTTGGAAAGTGTAAAAGTTTCCCTTCAAGTATCTTAATGAAGTTGAGATGTATGAAAATTATGATGTTTTGGATCAGCAACTATCCAACAAAAAGACTTTTCCATTAATAATACTATCTCTAGTCCATATTAAGTGAATTGTTGAGACATATGCTTATATTGTATTATGAATTTGTTTAGAGTCATAGAATCTTAATTTCCTGTTTTCAGTTAAGCTCTCCTTCAATTGATTTAAATAGATATTTTCCAAAAAGATAAAGGTTGGTGTGTGAAAGGACTTTTAGTTGCGGTTACAGAAAATAATTTATCTGAATATTTCCTTGTTACTGTATATTGAATTTGTTGCCTAAAGTATCTGATATTGTTGGTCTTTGTTCTCCTACAGTTCCTTTCTGATAAAGATGACTCTCACCAACAAACATGTATTTCTGAAATGACCTTTTATTATCCATTGTACATTTTCCTCATTTCTCAACTTTGAATCGATAAAAACTACTCCCTCTGTTTCACAAAGAATGACCTCCTTTCCTTTTTAGTCAGTTTCAAAAAGAATGACCTCTTTTCTTTTTTGGTAACATTTTACTTTTTACTTTCCACGTGGCATATTTAAGACCACAAGATTAAGGGCAATTTTGTACATTTGACATAACTTTAATTTAGGACCACAAAATTCAAAAGTCTTCTTTATTTACTTGAACTCCGTGCCAAGTCAAACCAGGTCATTCTTTGTGAATTAATAATACTATCTCTAGTCCATATTAAGTGAATTGTTGAGACATATGCTTATATTGTATTATGAATTTGTTTAGAGTCATAGAATCTTAATTTCCTGTTTTCAGTTAAGCTCTCCTTCAATTGATTTAAATAGATATTTTCCAAAAAGATAAAGGTTGGTGTGTGAAAGGACTTTTAGTTGCGGTTACAGAAAATAATTTATCTGAATATTTCCTTGTTACTGTATATTGAATTTGTTGCCTAAAGTATCTGATATTGTTGGTCTTTGTTCTCCTACAGTTCCTTTCTGATAAAGATGACTCTCACCAACAAACATGTATTTCTGAAATGACCTTTTATTATCCATTGTACATTTTCCTCATTTCTCAACTTTGAATCGATAAAAACTACTCCCTCTGTTTCACAAAGAATGACCTCCTTTCCTTTTTAGTCAGTTTCAAAAAGAATGACCTCTTTTCTTTTTTGGTAACATTTTACTTTTTACTTTCCACGTGGCATATTTAAGACCACAAGATTAAGGGCAATTTTGTACATTTGACATAACTTTAATTTAGGACCACAAAATTCAAAAGTCTTCTTTATTTACTTGAACTCCGTGCCAAGTCAAACCAGGTCATTCTTTATGAAACGGAGGGAGTAATAATTAATCTTCTTCTCAACTTTGAAATTGGTCACTCACAATCCCACAAACGTAAATGTTCTAAACAAGTATTTCCAGTTTCTTCCCCGGCCATTCCTTCCCTGATTACCAAAAATGTATAAACGTATAAGAAGACATTTGCGATGGCATTGCTAATCTTATCAGACACATCGATAAAGACTGATTTTTTGAAACATCTACTGTTGAAGCAACATATTTAATAAAGGAACCACAAGAGTTTACATAATTCGCCAACTAATTATTTCCTTCTTTAACAAAATTCTCTGAGAACAGATAAAAGCAACATTCGGCCTTTAATCCAACTCTTCATTTGGATGATAGATTAGCTCTGCCTTAGGAGATACTCTGGGGAAACGCATCAACTCTGTGGCAACATTCAATTCTTCTTTGGAATTAGAAGCTTTATCCGGATAGATGCTCATCCTTGACAAAGATGAAGCATGAGCAAACAATAATTTTACGAAATATAGTACAACTTTAGAATAGTTAAAGGAATGGATTGAAACATCTTCAAGCTTGTTGAGGGTTTTGTCCAAACATGATGGTGTGTCTAGATATTTCATAACTCCTTCAACTATGTCATCGGTAGTTTTGTCCTGATGGTATACAAGGTCATTTTAGCTTCTTAAGTACGTGAAATGCAAAAACGAACAAGACCATTGATATATAGAATGTATGACCACATATATTTGCTATTTCTTACCCAAATCTCAAGGTCACGAAAATTGGGGAAACTTTTAATCAACTCCAGAGTGTAAGAAGTCTGACCCAATTTATTGAAGTTTACATCTAAATCAAGATGCCACAAGCAGTTGAGTATACAAGGAAGCCTCTTTGGGACTACACCTGCAGTCAAAAGCTTTAACGGAACATTATACAATAAGAAGGATCACACTCAAAGAAGATATCTAAGTAAAACAGCACGTTAGATTCTTACCTCAAGTTCAAATTTACCCAAACAAAGTGTCTCAAGTGTAGGCGAGCTAAAAAGAAGCTTTTCCAAAGTTAATCTATTATCCGCAGGTATTGGATTATCAATCACAAGGTATAAATCTGTCAATTTTTTGCACTTCTTAAAGAAGTTGTTACTTAGGTCAAGATTATAGTGACTCTCATGAACAACCAAGGATTTCAACTCAGATGAGAACACAATGTTGAGGTATTGAGTACCATCACATAAATCTATGGTTAGTTTGACAAGAAGGGGCACATTGATAGTATAAAACTCTATTGCAGGCACAAAGGTTATTTTTTCCAACCGAAGGACGGTAAGAGTCTGTAAGCCAAGAAAAGAATTTGGTAATTTGAAGTTGCAGTTGAAGAGTTTCAAATGAGTCAGTGTTGGACAATTAAATATATAAGAAGGTAGTTTGTAAGTACCATCTTTTGTCATGTTAAGCTTTAGCTTCTTGACACCATTTCTGGTGACATAAAGCATCCATCTATCAATATCTGCATATGTAGACAAATGTACTCCTGAAACATCAAGATAAAACTTCACAATATCTCCAATATGTTGTAAGAGAATCATATCTATTGTTTCTTTGAAGACATTGTGAGATTTTTTAGCTAATTTCATGGAGAATTGCTTATCAAGCACCAAATTGGGAAGCTTGGCCCAACTATATCTCCAATCTTTGGACAAAATACTAGTTCTTGCAGCCTCATGAACCATCAAGAGCTCGAGGATATGATCTATAACGTTACTTGGTAGAACACTGATTCTATCTTCAACGGCAGCAACCCTTTACTATCTATTAGAAAAGAGTTAAAAGGGAAAAAGGGAGAAGTTAATACCTTGAGTCATGCTGATTCTCAAATGTTAATTTGTATCTCAATTTTATAGAGGAAAAAGTGTAATTTATAATGAAGTGGATAGATTTATAAATATTCAAAGTATCTCTTCCTTTATCCAATAAGATTCACCGTACTCAAAAGTAATTAATTATTGTTCTAAATTGTATAGAAGATCAATGTATCGATATATTCAAGTGATTTATTGACATAATTAATTAATCCTTCGTAACAATAGAAAAATTAAATATGTTCCTTTAATTAATATGTTCAGACAACTTTGCATTAGTCTTTTTCATACACAGGAGAATCGATCACTTGGATTGTTTGGTTCGTGATTGGAAATAAAAGTAATTTTTTTAAGATGTCCTTTCAAATGCAAGTGTGAATAACATTAATATTTCTTTTATACATTTTGGGGTGCAAATGTAGGACACCAAATAAGATGAATGTGTCTATTTGTTTCAATTTTACATAAGTTTCAGTGTCTATTATTTGTGCACACCCAAAGTTAGAGAGCGTAAATATTAGTTGAGGACTTAGGCCAAGTTAAATGAAACATTTAAATATTGTGTTTTCTTAAAAAAGATTAATATCTAACTGCCCATTGCTCGAGCAATATTAGAATTGTCTATGTCATACTCCCTCTATTACATATTAAGTGATTTTTTGGAGTTTTTTTCATTGTTTAAAATAGTTGAACTATTCAAAGTTCAAGATAAATGTTAAATTTTTTTTTTTCATATTTTCCCTTTCCTTTAATGAAGTTTAATATTTTCTAGGAAATAGAATGCACTACTTACAAAATTATATTTAAGATTTCACAACGGGCAATAGTAAAAAATATGATCTAAATAATATCTTTAAATGTTTTTCTTAACAGGTATGTATTACCTCACAAATCCACTTAATATGAAATGGAGGGAGTAATATTTACGACGATGTGATCAATCTTAATGCTTTCAAAGTGATTAGTGGATATTAATGCACATACCTTAAATACAGAAGGAGTAACTCAAGTTTGTCTTGAAACCGATTCATTAGTGTTACTTAAAATTCTGACTAGAGTGTGGGAAGTGCCATGGAATATTATAGGGATAACGGAAGATATATGGGGATTAGCAGAAATGGTCCAATTTCAAATTCAGCACATTTATAGAGAAGGAAATTGTTTGGCTAACTGCATAGCCAACTTAGCTTTTGATAACCAAAGCAGACTTGTTTATAATTCTAAAGGGCTGAGGAATATGGACCTACAGCAGTGGCAATCACTATTGAGATAAACATGTGGTTATCTATTTGTTAGTATTTTAAGTTTAAATTTTGAATTAGTTTGAATAAGTCAACTAATCTTTTAGATAAGATTAAGTTGTTAGATTAGTTGCTTAAAGCTAGTCGAGTTAGTTCCTTTAAGTTAGTCAAGTTAGTTGCATTTACTTGTATTTAAGCAGATGTAAGCAATGAATAAAATCATTCAAGTTTTCTTTTAATTCTCAATCTCTTTATGGTATCAGAGCTTAAGGTTGTATCTCGTGCTCTTATGGCGGCAGAGATCTCACGATACTCAGGACCCAAGCCACTCAAGATCTTGACAGCGAGTTCTTCATCAGCTACTGGTGAACCAGCTACTTTGAGAGCATCAGCAATTGATCTAATTTCTTGTAAGTAATTAGCAACAGACCTGTTGGCCTTTTTCAAATTTTGCAACTGATCTCGCAGGCTGAAGATGCGAGTGTGACTCCTGTTGGCATACGCTGTATGAAGGAGTTCCCAGGCCAGTTTAGCCGAGGAAGCCGTTGCAACCGTGGGAGCAATGGTAGGATCGACTGATGCCATCATTGCCTGTTGGATCAGTTGATCATGGCAGAACCACATTTCAAATTCAGGATTTTCAATAGTGATATCATTATGAGTGATGGTGGATGGCAGAGCAGGTTTTGCTCCAGTGAGGTGCCCAATGAGTTTGTGTCCGTTGAGCAGAATCACCAATTGTGCTTTCCATGTTGCAAAGTTAAGATTACCTTGCAGTTTGATAGGTAATTGGGCAGCGGGATTAAATTGTATCAATTGAGGGATAGGAAGACCTGTAGTGCCATTGTTGCCGGTGGTAGCAAGTGGACACATAGTATAGCTTAGTGAAAAAAATGGATCAGACTCGTGAGAGTTTAGAGAAGCTCTGATACCATAAATAAATTCTAGATTTTGTCCTAAATAAATTTTCACTTCCTACTTCTAGCAAAGAAAAGTTTGAGTTTTGTAATTCTTGTTCATCCAATAAAGCTCATCGCTTGCCATTTCAACAACTCATTTTTAATAGCAATGCTCCATTACAAACTTTATTCAGTGATTTATGGGGTCCATCACCCATTTTATGCATTGATAAAAAGTTGTATTACTGCATCTTTGTTGATCACTACACCAAATATATTTGGTTGTATACAATAAAAAATAAAAGTGAAGTTGCCACTATTTTTGAAAAACATTTCATCCTCTGGTGGAAAAAATTTTCAAACACAAAATTGTCTCTGTTTATACAGATGGCGGGGGTGAATACATGGGTCTTAAACACTACCTACAACAAAAGGGCATTGAGCATTTAATTTCACCACCTTACACTCCTCAACAAGTCGCCACAGTTGAACGATGACATCGTCACATTGTCGAAACAGCAAGAACTCTTCTCAATGAAACCTCACTTCCACCTGAATTGTGGTCCTTTGCCTGTCACCATGCAGTCTATCTAATAAATAGACTTCCTGCTCCTGGTTTAAATAATGAGTCTCCTTATCAAAAATTATTTGGCAAAACCTCAAAATACTTGTCACGACCCGGGAGCACCCCCTAGTCGTAACCGGCGTACTCGACCTCGAAGAGATCTAATACAAGCCTCTTAGCATTCATTCATCGCATAACACTAAAAACATAATGAATTTAAAACTTTCTTTACCAAGAAAACATTGCATAAAAAAAAATAGCAAGCGGAAGACTTTCTAGACTTTATACATGATGTCTCAGGTTAAAAAATAAATTTTCCAAGATAAACTGGGAAATAATAGAATCCCATTCAGAAAAGACTTCAAAAAATCAACAGACTTTGGACTCCAACCTTGTTCCAACTCTTCTGCCACCTATCCCTATCTCCTTATCAATCCCATCTCCTTCTAGTTATCCACAAGATTTGAACTCATCCTCAAATAATCAAGAGTCCATGACAGAAGGCCAACTACCAGCAGATCTTCATCAATCAGGTATTTTCCCCATCTCTTCCTCTTCTTCTCGTCTATATAATAATCTTGCAGATGCCACTTCTACTCCATCACTCACTCATAATCACCCTTCAGAAATATCAAACCAGCATCCATAAAAACCTCCTCCCACCATGAACACATCATCTGGTGTGATCAAAAGGTCCAAAAATAACATTTTCAAACCAACACAACGATGCACCTTCTTGGCTCATCTCTCCCCTACTCCAAACACCTTTAAACAAGCTGTTAAGCACAACGAATGAAAGAAAGCCATGGATTTAGAATATGAAACACTAATGAGAAATCAAACTTGGGAGTTAGTTCCTCGGGAGCCGACGAAAAATATTGTTGACTGTAAATGGTTGTTTCACATTAAACGAAAAATTGATGGTTCTATTGATAGGTATAAGGCGCGCTTAGTGGCAAAAGGTTTTACACAATGTCCGGGATTGGACTTTCATGAAACCTTTAGTCCAGTGGTCAAACCAACCACCATTAGACTTGTTCTGTCCATTGTTGTCCAAACTAACTGGTAGGTTCACCAACTTGACGTGAACAATCCATTTTTACAAGGTAACTTACAGGAAGAGGTATTCATGGCTCAGCCCAAAGGCTATGTCAATTCTGATTTTTCAGATCATGTATGCAACCTTAAAAAGGCCATTTATGGCCTAAAACAAGCCCCGCGCGCCTGGTATGAGGCCCTCACGGCTTATTTGAATACTATTAGATTTGTTAAGTCCGAATCAGATGCCTCACTGTTCATTTTAAATCCCTGGCTGTTACTGTTTACATTTTAGTATATGTGGATGATATTCTCATTACTGAGAACCATCCAAACTTAGTTGCGCAGGTCATCAACTCTTTGGCTAGCAGGTTCTCACTAAAGAATCTTGGTGAACTTAATTATTTCTTGGGAATAGACGTTAAGCGTGTTCCAAATGGGATCATCCTATCTCAATCTCAATATATTCTTGAGATTCTATCTTATGTGGATACGACATATTGCAAAGGGGTTGCCACACCGATGTGCTCCAGCTCGCAATGTGCTCCAGCTTGCCACCTAAAGCAGATGATGGTTCACCCCCTACCGATGCAACCCTCTATCGACGCACTCTGGGTAAGCTGCAATACTTATCATTCACGCGTCCTGACATCTCATTTGCAGTAAACAAATTATCCCAATTTATGCATTCTCCAAGTCTGGAACATTGAAAGGCTGTAAAAAGGGTTCTGCGCTACCTCAAGTCAACAACAACATCGTGCTTGGAAATTCGTCATCATGCTGATAGGAATTTGTATATGTATGCTGATGCTGACTGGGCAGGTGATCCCAGTGATAGAATCTCAACATCGGGTCATATGCTCTTCTTGGGACCAAATCCTATATCTTGGTCCTCCAGGAAACAACAATCAGTTGCTCGATCATCCACAGAAGCTGAATACAAATCGGTCGCCAATGCACTCGCGGAGCTTACATGGGTCCAAAACCTCTTGGATGAACTAAGGTACCATATATCAAACACGCCAAGTATTTTCTGTGACAACATTGGCGTATCATATCTTAGCAAGAATCTAGTTTTTAAGATGAAACACATTGCGGTAGACTTTCATTATCTTCGCAACAGTGTGAACTCCGGCAGAGTGACTGTCACATATCTTCCTTCCATGGATCAAGTAGCAGACACTATAACCAAGCAGCTGCCCGAACCTGCCTTTCTTCGATGTCTAGCCAAGTTAGGTGTTGTTGCACCACACCTAACTTGAGGGGGTGTATTGAGATAAACATGTGGTTATCTATTTGTTAGTATTTTAAGTTTAAATTTTGAATTAGCTTGAATAAGTCAACTAATCTTTTAGATAAGATTAAGTTGTTAGATTAGTTGCTTAAAGCTAGTCGAGTTAGTTCCTTTAAGTTAGTCAAGTTA